TCAGTCACCATCTCATGTGGTGCTGCTCATCCTTCCTCCTCCTCGATTTGTGCCGTGCTGCAGCTAGAGCTATGCAAATTCAAACTGTGAATGCTCAGTTTAGTTAGCATAGCTACCAATGACGGCAGATAAACGGTTTCTTGTAATGATAAATTGTTTCTCCACCATTAGCACATTTAGCAGTGAGTGAATGAGGATGATTGACAGCGCTAAGAGCGTCCTGCTGGTTCTGATTGGTTGTTTTGGTCAGAACGGTGCATTACTTTAACCAGTAATTCAGGAAGGAGATGGAGGAGATTGATTGTTTTCACAGATTATCTGTCTCATAAACTGGCACGACATGGTGACAACTTTAACAAATATGGAGAAAACATATTTTTTATTAAAGTTATGTACTGCAGCTTGAATAAAATGCAACTACATAGCATTTTTGAGACATCTGGATTGCTTTATGTGTAGTTGCACATTGCTTTTGACTGTTGCTCATAGGGAGAGACATTTCAGTGTCTAAAACTAATAGAAAAAATTTAAGCAACCTACTTGCATACTGGATGTGGACTGTTGGATGTTAAATTCATGAGCAGTAAATATTGTGCTAATTATTAGTATTGAACCAAAGAAAGCAAGGCAGATGCAAGCCTTTAAAATTGTGACGTTTTTATAGGTCAAATAGACTCAAAAAATTGTAACAGCAGCTGCAGGGGGCCAATCTAATTTTTTGTCAGGGGGCCCAAGATTTCTGGCACCGCCTCTGTTTATGCTAGAGGATATTTCAACAAAGTCCAATAAACCAACTTAAATCTTAGTCTGCCAACATTTTTAGGGTTTCTGTATATTACCTTCCTCTCAGCATGATGTGGACCAAAGATCAACACATCAGATGTGAGCAGGTGTCAGAATCAGGATGATGGATGCCAACGCCGTGCATCTCTAATATAACGGATGCGTTGGCACCGCTGGCAGCCCTCGCAAAGAGGCAATCAGGAAGAAACATGTTTTCATTGACGGCAAAGATCTCCTGGTGGCTCCAACATGGACCAAATTTCTGGCTCATAAGTCCATCATGGAGCAAAACAGGGAAGAGCCTGCAGGTGGCGCTCTAGATGATGGCTGGCTTCTTGGTGAGTCCATTAAAAACTAAAATGTTATCTAGCAATTAGGGCCAGATGTTCTGGTGCAGTATTCCACTATAACCTGCAGGGGGCAGTGGCCGGGCTTCCAAACTCCCAGAGCAAAGCAGACTTATGTTTTCCTAACATTCACCCTGAACTGCGACGCCTCCCATCAGAATAATGACGGCGGTGTGGAAACCTTTTATCACGCTGCTATAACGGCTTCTGGAAATTAGATTCTTTCAACTCTTCACTTCACTCACATTGATTTTTGGCTCATGAAATTATGTTTTAACCAGTGATGGCATAGTTACTTTGAAAAGTAACTTTAATTGGATTACTGACTACTCTTTTAAAAAAATAACTTGGTTAGATTACTGATTACTTGATTTGGAAAGTAACTAAGTTACATTCAAAGTAACTTTTTTAGTTACTTTCAGCAGCTGCTAACAACAACGCCCCGCCGCCTGTGAAAATTACTTTGAGCTTTACCAAAACTTAATTATAAGCTGTTTTATAATAGTAACATCAACAATGTGTCTCCACTTATAAGAAGGGGAGATTGTTTTATGGTTACAACAGTATAAAAAAACCGTCAGTAATTTTGTGTTTCAATTGTCTGGAAAACTCTAAGAAGGATTTTAGAGGCCCCATCTCCCCCCCGGCCTCCAGGTTCTGTGTTACGGCCCTGCATTTGGTGTCGGCACACAGAGCTCCTGCTGCAGCTCCACAGCTCAGACGGCTGCTGCACAGATTTGTGACACTTATCTTAATATTAATTATTATAATGGCGTTTGCACAACTTCACTGACTCGTCCATTCGTGGCTGTTTTCACGTTTTTTACGCTGTTCATATTAGTCTCGATGTTTGCGGTTTTCTGGAGTGCAACGCGAAGCTCGACTTCGTTCACAGCTAATATATGACCCAGTGACTGAAGTCTGATTACTGTATTTGAAATAGCAACGTGTTAGATTCCTTGTTACTGAAAAAAGAGGTCACTGGTTTTAACCCCAACAGATTGGAGGACCGAAGCCTCTGCACCTGGTGGACCAAGTATGGTCTACAAACCAAGCCATGTAGACTCTTGACGTAGATGCTAAGCAGTGTTTCGTAAACGAGACCCTGGATCTGGTCCTAGAGAAACTTTTACCTTGGCTTTTTGTGATGGTGGTCACTGTAATTCCTCCCAGTTTCATCTTGGTCAGCTCCTCTCGGATCTCTGCTACTTGGGCATTATAAGGAGACAGAACCACAATGCTCCTCTCATCCACTCCTGCTTTTACGAGCATTTCAGCAATCTGTGTCTGAAAAACAATCAGCAGCAATTAAAATCCTTAATTTAATATCATGATTCCGTTACAGGAAATCTTTCCAGCCAACAGCCATCACTAATAGTTACAACACTTAATTTCCCTTTGGGATCAACAAAGTATTTTTGAATTTGAAATATCAGGAAAGTAGCTTCAGATGCTGCGGGACAAACTGGCCACTCCTCCTCTCTTTCTTCTTCTACTACTCTCCAGTTTGCACCGTTTGCTGTCATTTTCTCTCCATGGCAGATCCACCTGCTCTGTGTTCTGATTGGCTGATTCCTTCCTGGAGGCGGCTGACATGATGCTGCCATCACCTAATCGCTCTCCCTCTCCTGCTGGTTCTACTTTCATGAACATCAGAAATAATCCAACATCACTTCATATGTTTCTTCTTCTACTGTGTCTTCGCTAACCTCCAGTCAGTCGGGTCACATGAGCCCGGTTCTGGTTCTGCTGGAGATTTCTTCCTGTTAAAGGGGAATTTTTCCTCTCCACTGTAGCTACATTCATGCTCTGTATGAGCAATGGCTGTAAAGTTAATGATTCCATGCAAGTGATTGTCGCCCCCTGCTGGCCAGGAGGAGTGAATGCTGTAAGGACCTGCTGGGCTTCCTTAGATAGAAACTTCTGAACAATTAGAGCATACTGTACAGCTTGGGAACTAGGATCAGTTAGAATGTGTGATTGAATGGAAATATTTTTGTAAAATGAGATGACACTTATGAAGTGGCACTATATAAATAAACAGAACTGAATTGAATATCATGATTTTAAAGCATGGATAGCGACTGGTGAAGAGAATACCTTAATTATAATTTTTAGTTTTGCATCATCATCACTTTTAGACCTCCTCTTCCTCTACTTGCAGATTTAATCATGTATAAAGCAACTCCTGCTTGGAATCGATACAATCCTTTCCCGAGTCCCTCGATGGATCAATGACATGACCTTGAGATGCTCTTGGAAAAGTTACCATCTTCTAACACTCCAGCTTGTTTTGGTTCTGGTATCTGAACAGAAAATGTTACGTACCACTTTCTCTTTCTCACTGTGGTTGACTTTAGATTTGTTGTTGCCCTTTGCAGTCTTCACCACCAAACGAATAGTTTTTCCTTCAACGTGTCCAAACACGATCGGCATCGTCTTGCCGTTAACACGCAAGAGGCTGCTCGGCTGCTCCTCACCCGTCTTCAGCTTGCTCTCATAAAATTGCTTTGAGGGAAACTCACAGATGCCCTCGTGCTGTTAAAACCAAACACAGCATGATGGGTTATGGTGCACTGTTGCCGTTACTCATTGAGGAGATATTTGATGTTCACCATTCTGTACTGAGTGTCCAGCATCACAGCCGTGTTTTTATGGAGCCTGGTGTAGTAGCGCTCAAAAAGAGACCTGGTCATCCCCAGCTTCTTCACACTCTGGTTCTTCACAATTGGCTGAAGCTGTTTGTGGTCCCCAATCAGCACCACCTGGCAGACCACCACAAAGTTCAGAGGTCAGACAGAAGCCAGCAGACACCAGGCTCCTGGAGAAACTTTCCTGTCTGAGGATTCCAACAATGTTTTTTCTGAGAAATTCAACTTTTTGTTAAAATGCTGTAGAAACCCTGTGCCATCTGAGATAGCAAGAGACAAACCTCTTTAGGCCATCCTATAAACCAGGGATACTCGACTCCAGGCCTCAAGACAATGACACAAGTCCAGGTGTTTCATGAGGGAGACACTAGCCAAACCTCGGCTAGCACCGAAGCACTACATGAGGAAGATTTGCTAAATGGGCCCGACTGTGAGCTTGCCCCAAATGCTAGACTAGGATTAAAACTTTCCTCTCTGATAAAGCTGACAGCTGGTTGAGGTTATTCTGAGATACTTCTGTAGTTATGCTGCTACAGGCTTACTGACCTCTCCTCCTCTCTTCCTTCTCCTACTACTCTACTTTGCACTATTATTTCTACTGTTAACTTACTGTTTTCTGTTATTTTCTCTCCATGGAGTAAAAGAGGAAATACTATTTGCAAAACAACTCGAGGTACCACTTTATTTGACGAGGTGTGCATAAAACTGACTTGACACTGTCATAAGCATGAAGGCGTCTATGACTGTTGTCATGAAGTGTCATTCGGTAAATAATGACACTTTTAATGCAAAGTTGCTCTAAAAGTTGCATAAGCTCATTAGAAGTGCTAACTTTGCATTAAAATGTTGTTATATACAAAATAATGCAAAGGTGGCACTTTTAATGGACTTTTAAAGCAACTTTTAGGGCAACGTTGGAATAAAAATGTCATTTAGCGAATGACACTTCATGACAACAACTGACTTTCATAAGGACGCCTTCATGCTTATAACAGATGTTATGCCATGTTTATGACAGTGTAATGTCAGACTTATACATACCCCGTCAAATAAAGAGTTACCCAACTCCGCTTCTACTTGTCAAACAGCGCGGCGAATGACGAGCAGCCCGGTAGCAGTCTCCCTTCTCTGCGTTTGATCCTGGCATTAATGGTGGAAAGTACCGGAATGGCGACTGCAGGGAAGGGAAACTGGTACCGGACTGGTCCATCATCCGCCGGTCTGTTGTTACAAGCGTAGTGTGCATGAAGTCAGTGTAGCTTAGCCTAGCACCGAATGTCAGCCATGAGAGGAACGGCGGGCGGGACTTGCTTCAGAGGTCCGCACTAATATTATACTTTCATATCACGGTGGGGCCACCAGACATCGTCCCGCGGGCTCCAAGAATGAGACCTCTGGTCTAAAGAGTTCAAGGGAAATGAAAGAACTTGGGTTGGAATGAAATGGACTCGTGGGAAAGACACTGTTCGTATACAACACTACACATATTTGTTTTACAATTTATATACAATACAGGTGGCCTACACATAATTAATACACTAGGAACACGTGGGTGAGTGTGAGTGAACATGAATATGTGAGAGAGTATGAGTGAGAATGTGAACGTAAGAGTGCGTGAATGAGCACAACCATTATGTGACAATATTATTCCTACAAAGACTTTGGTTATTATAATTCAGTACTTCAATTACTCAATCACTCTGAATTATATGTGCTTTATGGACATTTCTTCATAAGTTGTCATCAAGATTATGTATCAGTGCTGTTGTATTAACCATTATCATGAATATCTATGATTTGGTTCACTGTGGATCCATGATTGTGTTATATTTGTGCTAATTTCATGTGATGCTGGCGGGTGCCTGTGGCGGGAATCATAAGGTAGTTTTTTCCCTGAAATAACACAAATCAACAAAAGGCCAACAGAGTTTTTCACTCTTATACAAATGGAGATCCACCTGCTCTGTGTTCTGATTGGCTGATTCCTTCCTGGAGGCGGCTGACATGATGCTGCCATCACCTAATCGCTCTCCCTCTCCTGCTGGTTCTACTTTCATGAACATCAGAAATAATCCAACATCAGTTCATCTGTTTATTCTTTTGAACCTCCAGCCAGTTGGGTCACATTACCGGTTCTGGTTCTGCTGGAGGTTTCTTCCTGTTAAAGGGGAGTTTTTCCTCTCCACTAATTGGTCCCAGGAGGAGTGATGATGCAAGTCAATGACTCGATGAAATTTTCTGGTTTTCCTTCTATTTCATCCTTGCTGCCATTGCAGAGCTTAATCTCGCTGGATTAGACTAGAATAACCAGCCTAATCTCTGGTTCTTTAAATAATACAAGTTTACATTTGTTATTTTGGGAGCACAATGCACTTAAATGCATCATGTGCTATGCTGAATTAACGACATCTGAGAGTAGTAGGACATCTTCATCAATTATTCATCCTGAAATTTGTAGTTTTGATATATCGAGGGACTAGATGTGATGTCTTCTCTGGATGTGTTTTAATGTTTATGAAGCATGCTGTTATCAAATTCTTTTTGGGATATTATTAAAACTGACCTGAACTAAAACATGGCTGTTGAGAATCATTGAGGATCTATGAATCTGGAAACCATGTCAGGTAGCATGGTACAGTGAAGTCTGAGAAACCAGAACATTTGATGGGAAAACCTTTAGGGTTAGGCAACATGAGCAAACACAGAATGGAACGTTTTAAGAAGGAGACAGAACCTGTTCGGGATTGTTGCAGACTAACGGAATCAGAGTCTGGGGTTCGGTGGCCATTGCGCTTTCATCGATCAGGATCTGACGTGCACTGACGGTGGAGGAGAGGATGGGGGTGGATGACTGTGTGCACGTGCACAGTATGATGTCATGTCTCTTCAGCTCAAGAATCCGAGCTTCTTTGAGAATGCGCCTGTATCTGGATGGAAAAACAAAGAAGATCTATTGTTTTTATATCTGTCATTTTATTGAGCTCTATGATGAAAACACTAGACTTACTCTTTCACTTCCTCAAGAGTCAAGACTTCCTTGAGCCTAATCCGTTCATCAAATTGTTTGATTTTTTCTGAAAAGTGGTTTTGCGGCTCACGGATGCGATGGTGCAGAGTGATGCTCCTAAAATCAATGAAACGCATGCAAGTATAGACGAATAAGGAAACCTCTCAGAAGTCACTAGTGGCAGTGAGGGCATCTTTCCTGCTGCTTGCACACTGCAGACATGTGGAGAGTCTTAACTGAAACAATGCAGTACCTGAGCTCTGGGTTGGACTTGTCCTGGCGAAGTGACCTTTGGGAAAACTGCAGGTCACTGTTTGGATAAGGGTATTCAACGTTCTCTACTTGCTGGCCATAGACTCTGAGGATCCGAAGACTATTCTTAAACCTCATCAAATACTCTGTGGATCAATCAGACACACATGGCTCCCAATCAAGATCCCAATGTCCAACCAGAACTAATTTAAACATTGTTTCAAAAAGTAAACTTACCTGCAACAACGTCCACTGACTTGTTGGATGGACCGCAGTAGAGAATGACTTCCTTTTTGTCTTTGTCTCTTCGGTCTTCAGATATCCTGGGGTTTTTGGAGTTCATCTCAAAAAACCAGTACACAATATTCACGCCCACCACCGTCTTCCCAGTTCCTGTCAGACAAATAAAAAGGAGATCTTTAATGCTGCATGTGGAAATAGGAATATTAATCACATTTCTGCTCCCACCTGGTGGTCCTTGTATCAGGGTAAACCTGTTATTTAGAGCAGCTGCAACCGCTTGAAGCTGACTGTCATTAAGCTCTGGCAGTTTTGCTGGCAACTTTTTCCTGGCGATCTGGTGTTTCAGCACACTGCTTGGCATAACTGGAAGATTAAGCAACACACAACGTAAATTTGTGTGACTTGGATCAAGGGGGGCCGGACTCTGCTAGCTTGATTGCAGTGTGTCCATGTGAAGAATAAATCTTCACACTCCAGGGTTATTAATAGAGTTCGACTGGGCTCTGGCTTGGCCTGATTGTCTTTGCAATATACTTGGTTCCAATTGGTAAAATCATTGTACAATATGGGACGAATTAGAGCTATGATGAAGGTCTTAGCACTGGCAATCACTCTCGTGTGTTAATGCTGTTATTTCTTCACTCTTGATGCCAAATGTCAACACAAGGACTAAAGTACGGTAAGAGTTGGAAGCATTGTGAATTCTCTGAGTAAAGTCAATTGACTCTAAAACAGCATTAAAGGCTACCTTTAAGATTAAACTTTAGGTGTCAAAATGAATGTTAACGTCTCCACAATAACATTATCAGCACTTAACACTGAACCAGACAAAACAAATGAGATCTGACTGAAAAATCCAGACTTAGGGTCTGGTGAACAATACAAATGACATCCGTGTTGAATCTGAGGTTAGATTTAAAACGTTCCTGCTGCTGGTAAAGACCAGAACAGTTTTATGATATCCAGCTACACACTGGTCTAGTAGGTTCCACCAAAGCTAGTTTGGCAACTACGAGCTCACCAAACTATTTTAAATGGACTGTTCTGTCCATCTGCCCGGCCACAGACTGGAGACCTGACCAGAATCTACTCTGCCTCTCCAATAACTATCCAGACAATAAAATCCTCTCTGCAATGATTTTTTATAATCCTTTCAGTTTAGTTAATGGGTGGATGGGTGTTCGGTACTTTTCTTACCTTTTTTGGGAATCTTATGGCCTAGTGCAATCCTCTTGACTAGGTCACATGCCGTTTCGAGGTTGAGAACAGCAGCTTCTTTCCGGCTGTAGGAAAACAAAGACAGACATTAATTTTAGAGAAAATGAATGAATTTCATCACCAACCAGAGGTGAAGAGCTTTAAAAGAGGAACTGAAGGAAATGTAAACTCACATGTCAGGCAGGAGCTTTGGGATGATCTCGGCAGTGAAAAGAGTATTTCTCTTAAAAACACATTCAGGAACACGTTTCATTGGCAGGTGACTGACATGGAAATCCACCTCACTTCCAGTTTTTCTAGAATCTACTTTAGTTGTGAAACCATGAGCCACCCAAGTAAACTCTTTTGGGTCGACCGGTGCAGAATGTTCTAGAGGTAAAGGCAATTTCAGACCTCTTTTCCGAATGCAAAGCAAGCATTTACCAAGGTCACATTCAATGACCCAATCTGTGATCCATTTCTGATGTAAGAAGAATTTTCCAGTCATGGTGTCTTCCAGCCACTGAGTGAACTTTACCTCCAGGTTCTCAATGATGATGCTGTCACTTTCCTCCACTGCATTCACTGCAGATTCCATCTCACAGATGGGTTTCCAGATCTCCATGTATTGTTTTGTGTCTTTATAGAAAGGCTTTGCTGGCTCTTGTGCTGACTGTGTATAACATGAGATGGGGTTGTGGACATGTTGGACACAAATCTCAAACATTGGTTTAATCTGCACCAGCTGAATAACAGGCATGTGACAACCTCTACTCCCTTCTGATGTCATTTGCACCTGCATGGTGCCACCTGGCTGCAGGTGAAGATCAATGTCAGCATAGTGCTGGAAAACAGATAGTGAATCTTCTGTTTCTGGTTCAAGTGGTCTGGTATCCATCAGAAGGGACTTGGACTGGTCCAGGTTTTCTGGTTCACGTGGTCTAGTATCCATCAGAAGGGACTTGGACTGGTCCAGGTTTTCTGGTTCACATGGTCTGGTATCCATCAGAAGGGACTTGGACTGGTCCAGGTTTTCTGGTTCACATGGTCTGGTATCCATCAGAAGGGACTTGGCCTGATCCAGATTTTCTGTTTGAACTGCTTCAATTACAGCTGTCCAAACTGTCAGAGGAATCTCAATGCATGGACCACGACCTGACATCTTGATCAACTCTTGGTGGATCACCCTCTCATCCGCTGCATATATCCGCCTTTTCCATTTGAGCATAATGTATTTTTTGTCAGAGTCATAAGTTGGTTGGTCCTCTAACTGTAACTCACTGAACATAACGGACAAAGGCAGACGAAATATGTTCCTGTTGAATGGAAAGAACACCTTGAAGCTCTCCTCATCCGGATCTGCAGAAACAACAAAGGCTAGCTTTGGTGCACTCTGCTGTTGTGTGCTCACTGCATAAAAGACCTGTTGAGCCTTTTGCTCAAACTGCCTAACTTTCTTTGAATTGGGGTCAAACTGATGACACAGATCTGTAATCTTAGTACGAGTGTACTGGAGAGCATCGTTACATATGAAAGAGTGCAGGAGCCTCTGTAAGATGAGGTCCATGTAACGTCTTATTGGTGAGGAGGCTTGTGTGTAAGGGTTCAGCTTGAGAGAATGATGTCCAACCTCTGCTGCTTCAGAGGATTTTGAACGGATTAAATATGCTTTGCTTCTGCAGCGTTGTAACTCGTAAATAACGGGTTGGAGCAGAGGGTAGAAGTCATCCGCACCCACAAGGTCCACCAGTTTGTCCGTATCGTTTTCTCTCAGAGCTGACTGGATGTCGTTCCACACAGTCTCCAGAATGGGGAAACGCTCAGTGCTTGGCTCAGAGTTAGGCACAGTCATTTCATCATGGTTGACACTAAAAGACAGTTGTATTAATGCTCCACATTTCTCTTTGAATGTTTCTAGCTTCTCAGGGTCTGGGCTGCTCTGACAGCGGAGCGGTGTGTGATATCTGGCTTTGGACTCACATAAGTATTTTGCTGTATAGTTGTTAAAGAGCAGACTGATTTCTTCAATCATCTGGTGGGCTTTACGCTTCCCAGGCGAACTGTCATCATCACCCTGGTAATAAGCCCACTCTCTCCCCAGTCTTAACTTCCTTTGAACTTTAGCAAAGTGGTAGGCCACAGTGACACCGTCCTCCTCTGTGCTGAATGCAGGAGGATCTCTGTATCTTTGGGTGATGATGTCTTCTGCCTCTTCATAAGTAAACTGTCTTTTGGACCTGATCATGGACAGCTGAAATTTTGGATCTTCAAAAATCTTGTGTGTTTCTTTTTCCACTTTGAGCATCAAGGAGACCGCCCTGCGATCCTGATGCGGCAGAAGACTGAACTGGCCAGTGCTCAAGTTTCCAGGGAACATATGAATAGGTTCTCCTCCTGGGTAATGTGTAGAGCCTCGTTCTTCTGCATGCTTATCTAGTTCATCACCTGGACTCACATAACTTGCCACATCTGCAATGTGGACTCCCAGCTCATAATGGTCTCCAGTATCTCTAATGCTGATGGCATCATCCAGATCTTTTGCTCCTAGTGGATCAACTGTAAATGTGATTGTTTCAGTTTCATCCTGCCTCTTTTCACTGTCTTTATCTTTATTTGGAAGACCTTCATATGTATCCAAATTAGTGTCTTTGACCTCAAATTCCTCTTTCAGCAACCAAAGTCTGTCATTAAGAGGCCCACTGGTTGGGAGAATATCTGTGACTTTTCCCAAAGGGTAAAGACAACGCTCTTTCCACCCAATTACCTGCACTACAAAAGCCTTGTCCCTGACCTCACGGATATGGTGAGATCTTATGATGGTCCAGTATCCACTGATTTCCTCCCATACTGGTAGAAAGTTGCGTCTTTGTTCCAGGAGGAGAATGGTTATTTTAGGTGCATTTTTGTTGACGGGCATCATTACCCTTTTTACAAACTTATTACCGGTAGCTGCAGGTCTCTTGGAGTGATCTTCTTCCTCGAGGAAGCATACAAATTCACGGGCAGATTCTTTTTCCTTGACAATACCAAGAACTCTAGCTGGCTGCCCTCCCCTGGCTGTTTGTACGACCACTTCATCCCCGGTGAAAGCCCTTCCCATGTTGGATCTCCCTTGAACATGTATGCGCAAGGTGGGTTTATGAAATGTTACAACATGTCCTCTGTTATAAGACTCCTTCACAAACTTTCCTTTCTTGAATAACTCTGGTTGTTTTTCACATAACTCTATCAGTTCTTGTTCACTAGAAACTTTGAAAGACTTTCCAAACTTCTGGTGGGTAAAGTCTTCAGACTCCAAACTCTCTTCATCTGAACTATATTCAGTTTTCATCTGTTCATATTTGTCTCGCAGCTCTTGCAGAATTGAGTCAGACATGGTTTTCTCATCTGTATCTTCCAACTTCTGAAACCTGACTGTTTCTCCTACATCTTGTTCAAAAAAACCTTCAGTATAATGCTTTGGTTCCACACTGTTGTTGCTGAAGCAGTGGATGATGAAACTTTGCCAGAATCTGGAGCATTTCCCAAAGCAGCAGAGAGCTGCAGCATCTCCAACTACCGTCACCTGAGACTGAGCCCTGGTCAGCGCAGTGTTTAAAACACGAGCATCATTGAAGAGAGGCAGGCCAGACGGGTTGGACTCTTTAAGGCTGTCACGGGTTTGTACAGCTGTCAGGATGACTGCTCTGAACTGTTTGCCTGTTAAAAAATGTATTAATTAGGTCAAACTAACATAAGAAAAGTCAGACAACTCTTGATCTTTGACATCATGCAGGATTGAGGTTTGAACTAGATGAAAGTTACCTTGGACATTTGCGAGAGTTTCAACATTTACTTCAGAGAAGCCTTTTCTTAAAAGGATGGATCGAATTTGTCGAACCTGTTGAGAAATGACTATTTAAATTATTAAATGCTATCAATAGCTACAAAGTTTATTTTGGAAATTGCATATTTCCATTTTCTGTATGCATTCATTAAGTTTGATAATGAAGCAACAGCAGGAGTAACAAGAACATTAACAAATCAACATTTCAGAGAAAACACTTCAAATGTCAAAGTATAATTTTATACAACAAAAACTTTAGTTATTAAGATTACTTTAAACAATTTTACCTGAGAGCCTTCTGACAGAACACAAATGGATTTTAGGTCCTTGGGCCCCCAGTTTGTTGGCCAGTTATTCACAATGTCTTCCACAACCTCAGTGACTTTAAAAGATTCTTGCTTGTTATACCAAGACATAGTCACAATGTCCAAGACACATTCTCCCCGAACATGGTGGAACCTGAGAGCGTGATCATTTGGAGGAGCCGGAACGTCTCCTGAGGCTTCAATCACATCACCCTTTCCAACATAAAAATGAGTGGAGACAAACTCCACAATCTCTTTGGTTGAGCGGTAGTTCTGACTAAAGATGATCCTGCTGCTCTGGGCAGCGTCACATTTTTGTCCTTGATAATAATGGAACAAACGAGTGAGGAGTGTGCAGTCTGAACGACGGTGGTCGTCCACAGAGAAGAGCTGTGGCCCCATCTGCATGTGATCTCCAGCGAGAATAACTCTGGTGTTTGGCCCAGCGAGACTCAGGGCCAACAAAGCTTCGCATTCCAGCATCTGGGAGGCTTCATCGATCAGTATGTGGGTGAAGAGTCCTTCTGCGAGCTTCAGGTCATGAAACAGTCCTGCCATGGTTGTTGTTGTCACAACTACATTGTGGTCTTCCAGAACATCTTTGTTTGGGGGCAGAAAAGACTTTCTATCTTCAGAGAGAAAACAGTATTTTAAGGTTATCTCATCTGTGGCAAACAGAGCCTTTTCACTCTTGGCCTTGATTCGAATTGGCCTCAGTTTGTTATTTTTACTGATGGCAGGGTGAAAGTGTTCTCTGATATACAGGTCTGCAGAACTGAAAGGTACAAAATGGACAAGTTAAAACTCCAGTAGGCTTTGAATGATATCTTTTAAACATTTGGGAATTGAGGTTAAAGGCCATAAATAAGCTCCCACACTAACTTTAGACCAAACTGTAGCCTGGTAAAAAGCAGACCCTTGTTCTATGTTCTGCTTCTTGCAGACAAAACGATTGCTTCCTGGATGCGTTGACTCTGAAGTTTTAATTTTTATCCAATTTAGCAGCATTTTTCATATGTCCAGGAACAAAATATGTAAAATAGTCAATTGGCTAATTCTAGTGCATTTACAGTAATATTTATTAATGTGCAATATCCCTTCCCAATTAATTTATGAATGTCAGATCATTTTGTATTTAAGTTTTTCACGTAGTCAAACAGATATTATTACACAACATTCTTTTACAGACAACAAGCAGAACCTTTTAGCCAAATCTATTCTTCCCCCTCACTTCTATCCTGTAACCCTGTAGATGGGTTGGTAGGTGATTTCTACTCTAAAACTTCATTTCCATTTCCATTAAAGTGAAGATCGTTTCTGGTAGGAAGAAATCTCTGTGGAGAAATGCTCCACCGGTAGGAAGTGAAAGAAACCTTTGTCGAGGGCTGAACATAGACTTCAGACTTTCTAGTCCCAAAGGGAAAATTATTTTCCACAAACCAGTTCCTGCACTCACATCAATAAGTAGACAATAACAACCAACAACCAGATACATGATAACATAATGTAAATGGCATAAAACTTGACTCCAGGTTCACTACGAAATCTACAGAGATGCACGGCGAAGAAATCACTCCGCACTGAACATTTTAGGGAAACGTTCTTCCTGGAAATCATAAACAAAAACATAAACAATGCTGGAGTTTTCTTTGCAACAGTTGACAGAATCACAAACCCTCCTGTGACTGAATCACCTGAACTCCAATAGCACCTGCAATGAATTTGCCAACTTCTTTACAGAGAAAATTCATAAAAATTTGAGGGTTAATCTGTGTATTAGTACTAATCCAGTACCAATGCTAAGCCCAAACATAAAAACACACTGAACTGAAATGACTGATCTCTACTTTCTGCTTTGCTTATAATTCGCTGACTGGATGTTGGCCAAACTTAAGATGACCAATTGCTATTGGTCATTTTATCAATATTTCTTAATCTACTTTCTGAACCAAACAAGTTACCTGTTGGTATGGGTGCAAATCAGGATTTTGTTCTGCGGATGCCTGCAAAGTTCGATGGCTGCTGTAGCAATGGTGAAGGTCTTCCCGGTTCCAAAAGGTCCATAAATGAGCAGAGGTGCAGTGAACTTTCCTCCATCATGGTTCCCCGTAATAAAGCCAAGTGCAGACTGCTGTTTGGAGTTCAGGTTCTCGTAGGTGACATCACTGACAGGAACTCCACAGTGCTTGAGGTCTGGCAGGACTCTGGTGGTATCAGGAAGCAGGTCTACGGCTTTGTGCATGGTACAGAAGCTGAGACGATCCAACTGAAACTGCACCTCCATTTGATAAGATTGGTTGTCTTTCAGAGAAAGATCAGAGCAGCACTGTTTAGACAGCTGTAGGTGTATCTGGTTCTCATTGGTTCTGAGGTTCAGAACCTTCGCTTCATAGACCTTGGACTTTGGATGGAGAGAGTCTACAGGAGCTATCAGGGCTGACTGGACGTTTCGTTTCAGTACCAGTCCTTCAGCACTGTCCATAGTCAGCTTATGAGGGATGGAAACTGAACAGAAAAGTTCTCCCTGACGAGCAAACTCCATCCCGAACTTTGGATCACTCAACCTAGTTATTGTTGTAATTTGTCCACAAACATTTAGTCTAAAGAAAATGACACGAAATGCTTTTTAAAAAGCAGAAACCATTTTGAGACATGTTAAAGAAACCTGTTAATCGAGGACTTTACCTTGAAACCACTTGGTCCTCAGCTCTCTCCTCATTGTACAGGAACTCATGCATCTTTGTCTTGTAGTTTTCAGCTGTCAGTGCTGCTTGGCTGTAACAGGAAGGCTTATAGAGAAGGGTTAGCTGTGGAGGCTTGTACGCCTTCATCAACTCTTCCTGTTTTTCTGTTCTGTATGAACAGGGTATTATAACCCTGTTCCCTCGATTCCAGCGCTCTGCACTTTGTAGGATGACACCATTATTGAAGACTTGCTCCTTAGTGTCATCCATCAACTGCTGGCCAACTCTGACCTTCAGTTTCTTCAAGAGGACTGGTCTAATTCCAAAATCTAGCACCAACCACTGTTCATACAAGCCTGGGTGTGTAGATGTGAACGATACGGTGATGGCATAGGTCATGTTGTTGCTGAGGAACCTTTCGCCTGCAGAGTAGATGCATGGTTCAGAGCTGTTATCAGTGAGGCTGAACGAAGCTCCTGGTTCCTGCTTCAGTAAAGCCACATGCAGCAGCTGTCTCTGCAAGAAAACACAGAACAATTTCTGATTTAAAAGATTTAAAACATTTTGGACACAAACAACTTTTGACACTGAGTGGGAGATGTGATCCAGTTTAGAGATACGGCGCTTAAACATCTTATCTTTTCAAACAGCAACAGATCACTCTGTGGTCTC